TTGTTGAGAATCCACAACCACTGTAAAACCTTTCACTCAACACATCCAACCCATATTCCTGTCACAACACATCCCGCCTGTATTCCTCTCACAACACAAAAACATACAACCTAATCCCAATATTGTTGAGAATCCACAACCACTGTAAGACTTTTCACTCAACACATCCAACCCATATTCCTCTCACAACACAAAACAAAACAATACAACCTAATCTCAATATTGTAGAGAATCCACAACCACTGTAAAACCTTTTTCTTAACACATCCAACCTGTATTCCTCTCACAATACAAAAACTACAACCTGATCTCAATGTTGTTGAGAATCCACAACCACTGTAAAACCTTTCACTCAACACATCCAACCCATATTCCTCTCACAACACAAAAAAAAATACAACCTAATCTCAATATTGTTGAGAATCCACAACCACTGTAAGACCTTCCACTCAACACATCCTACCTGTATTCCTCTCACAACACATCCCACCTGTATTCCTCTCACAACACAAAAAAATAAAACTTGATCTCAACATTGTTGAGAATACACAACTACTGTAAGTCCTTTCTTTCACTTGACACATCCAACCTGTATTCCTCTCACAACACAGCCAACCTGCAGACTGGCACTATAAGTGTCTGATCTCTTCCCGTCAATAGATATCAACCTGACAATATTATTGCGAGTGAAGTTACATGTGGTTGATAATTTGAATTAATTCACTTATATACATAATACACATGGCAGTGATTTGTTTTATCTGTATATTTACATAACTGCAGGTCACTTTGTTTTTTCCAATATTTTCAAGTCTTGTCACTAACATTCTAACATTTCAAATGATTAATTAACTCAAGGAAAATCAGAGAATGCAGCGTTACCACCAAACTCACAGCAAAAAAATAAGTTGCCAGCTCTCAAGCAAAGTGAACCACCAAAAGGAGAATATGAATTCCAACGTGCTCAGCTGAAAAAGTTTAACACGCCAACAAAAATTCACAACACTGAAACTGAGCCACCTAGTGTTGTAGAAAAGAAACTAACATCATCACCCAGTGTTGTTGACAAAACACCAACAGCACCATTCAATGTTGATAACAAACCAACAGCACCACCAAGTGACATTGACAACAAACAAAGAGCGCCACCTAGTGATGTCAAAGAGAGTTCTACAGTACCACGTTCTATAAAGTTGGTTACCCTTGATGAACCTTCCCAGCTGTTGTCAAGTGCACCACCCATTATCCTAACTGAAGACAGGGAAAGTAAATCTGAAGGTGATTCAAAGTAGACCCAGATGGGGTAACATTCCAAGTTATTGAAGCACAAATGCACCTGCACATTGCTTGGTAGAATTATGCTACACGTATATATACCCAATCCAAACATTTAAATCAAGACACAAAAGCACACACTTGTATTCAATGTTCTGCGCTACTCAAGACTTGTATTTACATCATAGGTACCCTTATGTTTGCATATGCCTCATACTAGTAATAGACAGACTAGCAAGACCGGTACCTGCAGTTTAAGATGTGAATTAATTTCAGATAGATGCATACCATGCCTGATCCTTCCCATCTCCCTTATTGTCAAAAGCTTATTAGAAGATTTCTGAACATGTGTTGAAGTGCTTCAGTTTTTGTTCGTTAATAGCATTTCTGTAATCTGGTATGCGCACATAACTCAGATATTGAATCTCTATTGTTTAACTGTATAAAACAACAAAGTTTTTTTATTGTAGTAAGTTTTTAGAGAGCTATTAAAAGCCACAGGTGGGACACACATAAAACTAACTTATGTGTCAATGGTTATATTGCTTTTGAATGGTGCATAGTATACACAACGTAGGTAAAGCATACCAAGGAACTGAGGACATTAACAGTAGAATGCACGTAAGCAGAGTTTAGATTGATCACAAGTCAGAGCAAAAGTTATAATTTTTGTGTTGGCTCATCCAGCAATTGATCATGTGATCTACTGTTGAGGGCTGTTTACTGATTGACAACATTGCTAGGGAAAACTATCTATGATGTAATTACAGTGTATCTCACTATGAACAATATCACTGCTTTCATTGTACATAATTATGCAATGTTACTAATTATCATAGCATACAACATGTGCCTCATGAAAGACTGCAGCCTGCTACTATCAGTACACATTGTGAGTCATTCAGCTATTTAAGATGCCTGTCATTCAACACATTCTCACTATATTGCAGTATAATTCCATTGCATCATACAAAATATGATATGATATGCAGCAAGTCCCATCACTCAACACTTCCAAACTTTATTCCTACCACTCCAATCTTGATAGTGTTATGAGAAAAGTTATTAGACATGGCAGTAAAATAGATCTAAACTTTTTTTCCTCAACACAACACAATCCTTTGTTCCTCTTTGTCAAATGTATATGTTTGCTGAGTCATGTGTACACCTAAATGTGTTCAATGAATATTGAATTTATGAATGATTCTTTTGAGCAATGAATCAATTATCCAGTCAAATTATTAGGCCAAGTAACATATGGTAATGTTATATTTCTATTAATCATAATTTTAGTATTAATCTTTATTATAATCATAACCACTTTTGGATATTGACGTAAGGATATCAAGATGGACAATTTGAGTTGTTGCTTTCATGGTTACATTTGTGAAAGCGCCACAATCATCTAGTTGTTTATATAAGCATTGTATTTTCATGCATTGTTTACATCGCATGGGACCCACTTGGAAAGGCGAATAACGGAGCTAGTATTGACTTGTTTTGTTATAATAACATTTAATATTATTGTTATTTTATATAACTTCTTACTTTTTTCAGCTCGTCCTAAATTAGTATTACCAGATGACTTAAAGAAAATTAGAGTCAAAAAGGGGGAACCCATACGCATAGAAGTTCCTGTTAGTGGAAAACCCCCTCCAGAAGTAAGATGGTTGAAGAACGGCAAGCCATTAAAACCAACGAAAGATCTAAAAATGGAGCGTACTCCAGATAAAGCTATTTTGTACATACCTGCTTCAGAACGAGATGACACTGGAGCCTACCAGTTGGAGATATCAAATGCACATGGTTCTGATACAGCTGATATGGCTATTGGTGTGGTTGGTAAGTGTTGACAATCTATCTAACTTTGAGTTAATGCCTCCCATATTTCGTTGAAACTAGTATTTCTGTAATTCAGATATTTGCAAGTTACAGCTTTATTGAGTGATTCACTTCAGATCCAGATAGATTTTGTCACTGGCGGCTAAGTAGAATGAATTCCTGTTGTGATGTGCTTACTACACACAAGCTTAGGTATTGTTTGCTCACTGTTCAGCATGTCAGTAAAAGCGATGTTAGAATGAAGGCACCTAAATAATGTACACACAATGTTATGTAACAAGTGTTCATCACAGACCAATCAGAATGAAAAAAATGTGTCACATTATATTTTTATTTTGTATAAATAGTTCCTATTCATTCAGAAAATCTCATGTGTGTTCAGTGAAATGATGACACTCTGTTATTTGGTATATGACATATATAACATCGCATAATGCATTGAAATTACCATATAAATAAGGCATTAAGCTCTTTGGTAGACACAAGAACCTGCGGATCTTAACCAAGGTTCCCCCAAAGTCGCATTTGTTAGTGAATGAAACCCGGCCAGTGGAATAGGCCTTCCCAGTGAGTCTGTGGCACACTCACCCAGGGTAGGGGTCAACCCTTTTGTTGTTCAGCCTAAGGTAGGATTTGAACTTGGGTCTACCGGCCATGAGTCTGATGTGACAACCACCAGGCTACCAGTGACCGGTTTGGTTGACAATTTTAACTTCATGTGACTTGTACTGAGATTGTTTCAATGGCAACCACACACACACACATCTGTACCAAAATGTAATTGGTTGGTCCTTATGTCACAGGCTGAAAAATTCATGAAAATCCATCCACAACTATTCAAGTTTATAATGAAAATTCATTCTCACAATTGCAGCCAAATCTTCATTGTTACACAATAAGTTCTTTTTTTTAAGAATCTATCAGTTATCAAAAAAAAATCATTCTTTAAATGGCTGTTTCCTTGGCAACTCATTCACATCTCTACCAAAATTTATTGGATTAGTTATTTTCAACGTCTCCTTAAAATTTCTCAAGAATCCATTCATAGCTTTTTTACAATAGAAAAATTGTTATTGAACTTGTGGTTTCCATTTTAACCCGACATACAATTTAATGGGTTGTTTTTTTTTTGACAAGGGAAAATTCTCAAAATTTTAAGAGAACCCATCTATAGCTTCTTAACAAGCAAATGAATGTACTGACAGCAAAATCAAAATATCGTTGGATGCCCAACATAATTGGCTTTCAGAGTAAGGTTTGATGTGTGAGGACATATACTACGTTTTATATTGAAATTTTCTTTGAGATATGTGTAATTGATTTGCAGAAAACAAAACATAAAAACTTGGCTTCTGCCTATATTTGACTGTCAGTGATACAGTCTGTTATGTCGTGGGTATCATCTCTAACTGAATTAAAAATTATGTGTTCTAGTATTATGTGCGAGTTCCTAGCTCTTCTTAATTTTACAAAAAGTAATTATACATGATTTGTTTACACCGAGTTTGATTGTTTATTTAATAGATGTTCCAGGTCCACCGAAGACTGTGAAAGTGTCTGATACAACAACTTCATCCATATCTGTCAAATGGGAAGAACCAGAATTAGACGGAGGTTGTGAGATCCTCGGATATAAGGTTGAAAGGTGTGATGCAAATAAAGATGAGTGGACAACAGTTGCTGAGAAAGCACCAGCAAATAAATTCACAATACCTAACTTGACTGAAAACAAGCAGTATCTGATTCGTGTTAGTGCTGTTAATGAGATTGGAACCAGTGAACCAAAAGCGATTGATAAACCAGTCACCGCAAAGGATCCATTTGGTGAGAACTATAACTCTGAACACTGTATTTGCTCTATTAGAAGCTAAGAACACTTCTATTATTTATGCACTAATACATGTGATAGGGAAAATATGGTACATATCGCATAGACAAGTAGGAGTTATTTAGCATTATTATATTGATATATTTGCTGCCTAGCAACCGTTTTATTGCCTTCTCCAAATGAAATGAAAGGAAAAGTCTTGTAGTGGCATAATCTGTCTATCGTTGTAAATATCTTAATAGTTGATTGCTATCAAACTTATATACATGTATATGGTTAATCTTGCCCCAGGTTTTAATTATTGTGAACTATTAAGTTGTCTAAACTGCATGGCTGAACCTAGTTTAATCTAAACTTGATTTACATTTCAGATCCTTCAGATCCTCCAGGTCAACCTGAGGTACTTGAAACCCATAAAGGATTTGTTAAATTGAAGTGGCCAGAACCCAATCAGATGGAGGTAGTCCAATCAAAGGTTACCATATTGAGAAGAAAGAGACTAAGGGTAAGAAATGGACAAATGCCCTGAAATCACCAGTGCAGGGCACAGAAAGCAGGTATTCCTGATCTTATTGATGGTGAAGAATATCAATTCAGAATTGTAGCTGAAAACAAAGCTGGAAAGAGTG